ATGCATTTTGGGGCTTCAAAATTATGGTATGGAGTACCCGGAAAAGACGCGATTAAACTGGAAGCAGCTATGAGAAAGAATTTACCCGATCTTTTTGCTGAACAACCAGACTTACTTCATAAACTGGTGACACAGCTTTCCCCATCCATACTAAAATCAGAAGGGGTCCCAGTTTTTCGATGTGTTCAAAATCCCGGAGAGTTTATTTTGACTTTTCCTCGGGCGTATCATTCGGGTTTTAATTGCGGGTTTAATTGTGCCGAAGCGGTCAATGTGGCCCCCGTTGACTGGTTACCGCATGGTCAAAACGCGATTGAACTGTATCGTGAACATGCCCGCAAGACTTCAATTTCTCATGATAAATTGTTGCTTGGAGCTTCAAGAGATGCTGTGAAAGCTCATTGGGAGCTTAATCTACTCAGAAGAAACACACCAAGCAACTTAAAATGGAAACATGTTTGTGGAAAAGATGGGATTTTATCGAAAGCACTTAAGGCACGTGTGGAGATGGAGAGGGTAAGGAGGGAATTTCACTGCAAGGGTTCACAGGTGTTGAAAATGGAGGAGACTTTTGATGATAAAAGTGAGAGGGAATGCAGTGTGTGCTTTTTTGACCTACATCTCTCAGCTGCAGGCTGTCACAATTGTTCGCCTGTGAAATATTCTTGCTTAAATCATGCGAAACAGTTTTGTTCCTGTTCTTCAGCTTCAAAATTCTTCCTTTTTCGTCATGATATCAATGATTTAAGTATATTGGTCGAAGCTTTGGAAGGGAAATTGAGTTCTATATATCGATGGGCAAAACTTGATCTCGGACTCTCTCTATCTTCCTATGTAGTAGCTAAAGATGATGATGAATCACGAACCCCAGGGCATAATGGTAATTCTACCTACGCAAATATAACTCCCCAGAAACCTTCAAAGCCTTCATCTATGGTGAACGATACTGTCGTCATACTTGTTAGTGACGATGAGGGTGAGTCCCCACCACTTGCTGACATGGAAACAACACGTGGGTCCCATCCGGAAACTGTTAACATTACAAATCCTGTGAAATCTGAAGATCTGTCAAATATAAAAGAGACTGGTTGTGGAGTGGATTTGAAGACCGAAAATCCTGAAAATTTGACCCAAAATAGTTTGGATAGATATTATCGCCAAAAAGGTCCTCGCATGGCGAAAGTTGTTAGAAGAATAAACTGTAATCCCGAGCCTATGAATTTTGGTGTAGTGCAATCTGGACATTCATGGTGCGACAATCGTGCTATTTACCCTAAAGGTATGATATATAATATAAAATCTCAATCAGACCAGAATTAGAAAAAAACAATGGTTAAATAAATATTCCGTGTTTGTGTTTGTGTTTGTGTTTTACATACAGGTTTCAGGAGTCGGGTCAAGTACATAAGCATTTTAGATCCAACAGATATGTGTTACTACATTTCAGAGATCCAGGATGGAGGACATGATAGACCTCTATTTATGGTATTTTTAAAATCATCTATCATTCTGATTACACGCTTCATTTTACTATCTATACGATTTTATATAAAGTTTTTTTTTTTTTTTTTTTTTGGAGGTTTCGTTGGAGGATTGTGAGAATGAAGTGTTTATTCATTTATCAGCTGTAAGATGTTGGGACATGGTTCGAGAGAGAGTAAATAATGAAATCTCAAAGCAACATAAGCTTGGAAGATCAAAGCTTCCTCCTTTACAGCCTCCTGGAAGCCTGGATGGCATGGAAATGTTTGGGTTTTTATCTCCCTCTATCTTACAGGTAAAAACCAAATAATTTTAATGTAGTAAAAAGTATAAATATGTATAATAATAGAAAATACACATGTTTAAAAAGTTGTTACAAATTGGCAGCGTCTTCAGTCAATGGATAGGAATCGGGTGAGTAGAGAGTACTGGGAATCACGGCCTTTCCACTCTGATGATAATGGTGATTTAAATACAAATACAAATACAGGAGGAGATGATGCTTCTTTAATGGTTAGTTTGTTTGAGAAGGGGAGTTTAGAGGAGTTAAATATGTTAGTTAGTGTTTTGGTTAAAGGTAATTCAACTGCTGACTGGACCCACCTCCAAACACTTGTTAGTGAAGAGATACAAAAGCGCAAAAGATGACTGACTCACTTGATTACATATAAACATTTTAGTCTTACTCTTACATTGGGATTGATTTTTTCTAACTTTTGTAAATGATTTCATCATATAGGCCTTCAATTGACATGTGTTTACAAAAATGATATGGATTTGAGGTTTGCTATGAGAATAGAAGTGTAGGAGTTTTTCAACTTGTAGTTAGCATCATATATGATAAACCAACTGTTACAACTTACATTTTAATGTTTTATAACATCAAAAACTAACAAACGCTTGAATGTTATGTGCAATTGGTCTACGGTGTTTGTTTTTTTGGGCAAAATATCCGCAGCCTGCGGACCATATCTATAGACCTCTGAGGTGGACCAAACATTGCAGTAGAAAAAAACAGTCTGAAAAAAAGACCGTTTGTTTTTTTAACATCTTCAGGCTATTAAAATAAACTAAAATTTAAATAAATTGATTTTTTTTAAACTTTAAAGTGATTTTGTAATATTTTTGACTTTGTTATAAATAATTAATAAATCTAGAACAAATTTTATGTATTATTGTATAAAAAGTGAATAAAATGATACGAATTAATGTATATATTTGATAAAAACCAACAATTTTGATCGCAAAATTATACTTAAACATTGTAATTAGGAATCAAAGAATTTGACACATACATAGATTGAAATAAACTTCGATTTTTTCAATTAAATCAATTAAAAACGTACCATAAATATTTTGCCAAGAAATTGACGATACTGTATTAAATAATCTTTTATAAAATTTGGCACAAAAAATATAGAAATATATTATGATTTTTTTCCATATTTATATAAACAATTTCAACATCTATTATTGTAATAAATCTTTATTTATAAATTTGTCAAAAATGTCATGTTTGTGTCGTAGAATCTTTTTGTTAAAGTAGTGTAATTTTTTTTTCAAAGTGTTTACCATTAATAAAGTTGGAATAAATATAAATTAAAAAAAACAAAAAAATAAAAATAAAGATATATGTGTTTTTTTAGGTTAGAAGATGTCTGAAAACTTTGGTCCACATCTACGCCAAGAAGAAGGCGTGTAGACATTTTTAGGTCTGCAATCTTTAAAAAATCAAACACTCTGTGAAGGCTAATGTCTACGCATGGTCTGCGCAGTGCAGACAGAAAAGACCAAAAAGATTTGCAGACAAAAAAACTATATAGGGTTTTACAAGTTGCCTGCTTTTCTCCTTTTTTTTTTGGTACGAAATTGTTTTAAACATATATTTTACAAATTTGCACCTCCGTTCTTTACAACTTTGTTTTTTCATGTTTTTTAAAACTTAGTTTTTGTGAAAAAAATAATCATTTTTCATAAAATTAGTGTTTTTTATAAATAAGAAAATTGCAAATTTGGTCAATATGCTTTGCCATTTTGTATGGTTTTGATCCACGTGGTTCTAAAATTACAAAATTCATCATTTTAAGTAGATTTCATTGTGGTTTTCCCTGGATAGACCCTGTTATCTCTTATTCGTTAATTCACCCTATGGGCTTGTATGTAAGGGTATTTTAGTCATTTTACATATAATCTCTCTCTCTCTCTCTCTCATTAAGACCCTAATTATCAACCTCATCTTTTTTTTTTTGAAACGGCAAACTAACTAATATACTCCTAAATAACCACCTATGTCTCCACCGAGACTTGAACCCCTGACCTCTCATATGAGATGGTCACTCCATACCGCTAGGCCATTGGCCCTTTGGTAATTATCAACCTCATCTATCTCGCTTGTTTTTCCTTTCGTTCTAGTTTAAGCTCACGATCTTCAAGTTCATTCTCTTTTCCCTAATCATAAAACTAATTTGAGATGATGATTACACAAACATTGTTATTTTAAAATTGTAAGATTTTACAAAAACCCAAAGGTTAAAACCATTAGCAAAAAAGAACTACATACAAACTTCTAAAAAAGATTAAACCCTACACATTCCATTTTCAACCTTCAACATTTAAAACCTTGAATCTTCGAACCTACCAAGCAACTTCAAACATGCTGACCCTCTCAAAAATTGTCATCCTCTACTTCACTCTTTGACCAAGGACGTACAGAAAATCGATTAAAGCCACAAGGATGTCAATACATTTAGCTCTAGAGCCAATGAGATAAAGTTATGAGATAGACCTTCCAGTGCAGTCAAGTACACGAACCAACTTAGGGGCTGTTTGATTTCTTGCTGATCCGGTCTGATCAGACATTTTGACTGACCCGGTCCAGCCACTATGTTTGATACCATCTATTTTGCAGCTTATTCAACCCACACTCAGTCCATAATGTAGGGATGTCAAAAACCCCCCCGGGACCCCGTTCCCGTGGGACCCCGATACCGTACGGGACTAATTTTTTAAAAAATCCGGGAGCGGGAGCGGGGGCGGGGGCGATATTAACTCCCGTTTATTTTTGAGACCGGGGGCGGGAGTGAGTATTTCCGTCCCGTACTCCCGCGGGGGCCCCGTTTATATATATATATATATATATATATATATATATATATATATTTATATATATATGTTTATAACTTTAGTGATGTTTTATGTTTGATCAATTCTTGATTTATCAAGGGCTTACATGTTTGTTTATATACAAAAGTTATTAAAAATAGTATTTTTAGCCTAAAAAAAAGCAATTTTTTAGCAAAAAAAATCCATTTTTAAGCCTATAAACTGGGGGAACGGGGGCGGGACCGGGGGCGATGGAGGTAACCGGGGGCGGGACCGGGGGCGGGACCGGGACCGGGGGCGGGGGCAACCATTTCCGCTCCCGTTTGGTCCCGTTGACATCCCTACCATAATGCTATGATTCGGTCCACTGGAAAAAAAGGCTGACTGAAAAAATAGACGCCTTTTGTCATTGACGCATGCTCTCCATCTCAATCAATCGATCTAATCAACTTTTCCTTCCACCACCACCAGTACTCATTCCAAAAACACGTTTTCTCTTCTTTTTGCCCTTAACAACCAAATCGCTCCTCCAAAAAAACACGACGACCTCTCCTTCTTCAGCGTCGAATCCTACCACCTCCGGTCTCCTCTCCCAATGCCACTCTCCTCCAGTCCCGTCGCCATCGCGTCCATTCTCCAATAGTCGAAACACAACTCCGATTAAGACTATCACTTCTTGGTTCCTTGATTGTTTAATTGCTGATTCTTGTTTGTAGTTTCTTCATCTAAAATCGAACTCCGATCAAGACTCTTTCTTGCTCTTGTTCTCTCTATCGCCATTTAGCAATTAACGATCTCACCAAGTCCGTCGGTAAGCAATCATTCTTTTGTATTTGTTTTTTTTCCCTGAAATTAGATTAGATGTTATGCTGAAATTAGATGTTATTCGGTGTATGATATCCATAACTTAGGTCACGCCATTTGTTCATAACTCTACAAGTTATTTTATTGAGGCAATATGACTTCTAAGTTTCTTTACTCCTGTATTGTCACAATGAGAATCCTTTAATCTAGTGTTGTTTGGGGATTACACAATATGATGGTCCTCAATTTCCAATATTGGCCTTTGTCCTAATTGTTGCTCACATGACAATCTATCACAATACATAATCCGCTCTGATTGTGTCTCATTTCTATATGTATATTGGTTATCTGTACTTTCTTATTGAGAATTATAAGTCTTATAGTTGCAATGGGAACTTTTGGTCTTGTTAATATATGATAGAGTTTGACCAACACAATGAACAAAATCTAACTGCCTATAGTTGCAACTTGGTTTTGGTTTGTTTGTTGTATCACCAAATTGATTCATTTATTTGTTATATGACAAAGTTGTTGCTAGAGGGACAAGAATTCTTCTTCCATGGGAGCTCCTACAACCATTTTTAAGGATCTTGGGCCACTGTTTACCTGGTCCATTGAATCTAAACGATATGAAAGATGCAATATCTACAACAGTTCGATATTTGTACGCTAGAGTTTACCTTCAGTTTTTTTTTTTCATGGAACGTGTAGATGCAAGAACTCAATTGTGTAATTTAAACGTGTAGATGCAAGAACTCAATTGTGTAATTTAATTTTTTTGTTTGTTATGAGATTGCATTCAATTTTATTTTTGATTTATGGAACATGGAAGGCGTTTGCTCTTATAAATGTATATGTTTTACTTTGGTATATTCTATTCAAATTAGAACTTAGATATGGTAATGCTTTGCTTATTATAAAAAATGTTATCCCAGATGTGATGTTTATAAAAAATGTAATGTTATAAATTAGATGGTAAATCATAAATGAATTCTGATAAAAAAAATATTGTTTGAGGGTAATATAGTCATTTTGTACAGTCAGTCAGCTGCAAAATCAAATAGAAAGTTTCAATCATAAGTTAACTTAGTCAAAACTTTTAACCAAGTCAGCTCTAACCCAGTTAACAACTATCAAACGACCCTTTAGTTGTTGAAACATCTCACTCTTTTCCTTAAACCTTGCCAATATATCTTGACACTGATCCTGAACAAGTATTTGTTTTTCGAAATCGTTTTGTATGTTGTGTTTGATTTTACTAATAAGCTATAAGTTGGGAGATGAATCTCACCTTTCTTGCCATTAACTGTAAGTTGGAAAAGATGAGTTTTTTGTTTTTTGTTTGTTTTTAAGATTTACTAATCTTTAAATGTATTTTTATCTGTGGGTTATGGTTGTTTATAAGGATAAGCTTGGTCTTTACCCATCATTTGGTATGACACTGAAAAGACCATGTAGGGGCTGCTTCATTTACTTGGGAGTAATTATTGTTTAAACACTAGTTTTACTTGTTTAGCGAGTAACTATCATAATTACATACATACCTAGATCCTATTAGCATAATGTCTTACGAAAATCTTCATATACCTTTATATATGCTTATAAAAAGTTGTACATATCTAGTATATCATATAATACTAATAATCTATTTCACTATTATTCACCAGTTGGATTCAAAATAACCAAAATCCACCTCAAATTGAAGAATACATGCAACGAATTGCATCATTATGCGAAGGAGATCAGAAATGTAATGAAAAGATTTGGTGGTTCCATTTTGCGGACATGGAGCAGTTTCTGATTGTTTTACAGGCCACATGGAAGTGGTTCATAGATCTGGTTATGGAGGACATTGATGGCGGTCTTGGTGCATGTATGTTTCACTTATTCTTGTTGGTCCCAAACCCCTTTTAGGTTCGTAGATCAAATTCAAACAAGAAAGAACAATAGAAGAACAAAAAATTATCACAAAGATGTATTTCACTAAGAAAGCTTCTCACAAAGAAAACGAGGTGCACAAAGCGGTTGACACAAAGCCATGCGCAAAGCAACTACACTAAGCAATAATTAGGGTTTGACCCATTACAAAAATATATACTAAACAATCCCTACAATCAAGGGATTGTATTCTAATCTAAATATGTAAACTACACGAGACTTCTCCAAATCTTCTATTATACCAAATCCCTAATTTGATGGGATTGCATCTTCTAAGATAATAGTAGATCTGGTAATTAGGGTATGGTTCAGATAAGATATTCTATTATACTTCTTCACCAATTAAATCTGATCAACTCTAGATTCGGATATCAACACCAACATTAGGGAGTCAGCATCAACTTCAGAGACATTCGCTGATCAACGTCAGCTTCAGTTTAGAGCAGCTTCAGCTTCAACAGAGTATAAATGATATTTCCAAATTTATATATATTTTTAGGAATTATTTTAATACATTTTAAGCTATATTTTGGTTAAATGCAAAGATATTTGGTACTTATTAAGTTAAATTACGTTTTGCAGCAAAAAAGGACACTCTTGAAGAAAATGGACCAAAACTGACAAAAGATGGAACCTGGAAGGACTGAAGCTGAAGGTGGGAGCTTAATGGAGCTTAAAAGGAAGGAAAATCAAGCAAACACACTCCCCACGACATGGATTGAGAGTACCACGACCTGAATCAATGAAAAATCTCGATCATATACGTGATAATGAAGATATCTACACACGTCGTGAAAATGATTATTCCAGAAGATATCTACACAGGGAGCAAGTTCCCTTGCTAAAGAAGGATTTGTACTGATCTCACGACGTGAGATGATAAATAATATCAAAGGACATATTCGACTTGGGAGGATTGGAAGTAATATTTTGGAGATCTAGTCGATTTCAGAAGCCAGAGAACAACAAAAAAACAACTTTCGGAAGGAGAGATCGATTGGAGATTAGAGATTTGAAGATCAAAGCAATAATTCAAATTACACATTTGGTTTGCACTAGAGTGATCATATCTAGCTTGAATTCTTATGTGTTTTTGTGCTTATTTTCTGCCATGAGTAGCTAAATCATTAGGCTTTCGTTTAGTGTAGATGAACCCTAATACTATGTGTTAGTTTCTTGCTTTTCATGGATTTTATGAGGTTGGTTTAGTTTGTGTTTGATTATCAATACTGTAACATCCATAAAATCCGAGCCAATTTAAAACTTTTTAAATCATTTAAAACCATTCTATTATTACAATTTGTTTCCAAAATAGTTTAAACATCAGAGTTCCCAGAAATCATAATCATCAATCGAGGAAGTGTACGGTCACGCCTTTGCCTTTCCGCGGTCATCCGCTGAACCTGAAACAATAAACTGAAACTGTAAGCTCGAAGGCTTAGTGAGTTACCCCCAAAATACCCATACACACCATAATACACATACAATAACAAACAGCATACTATGGGTCCAATCATCCATCAGGATGGAATACCCCAGGCCCTCAACCATTGGGTTGGAATGCCAACATACCGATACACTTCACATAACACATATACAACTAACAGCATGTACTGGGTCCACAACTTTACAGACTGGATTACCCCTGGCCCACAGTGAGTCTGGATTGCCTTCCGGGTCCACAACTCACATCTGGATTGCCATCGATCCCACAGTACTAGTCTCCCTCAGCTCGTATCTGGAATGCTCCCGGGTTTGTTGGTTACCGCACGGAGCAGTTTCACCTCAACCCATCCCACAAAATATGTCGACATATAACACAACTAATGCACATATAGATAATCACATAATACTACAGGTAGTCCTACAGATCCACCTAACTGACATAACTACTAGCATGCAAACAGTCATACCAAGTATAGGTCACTAAGCATAACCACATCTGATCTATCAGGATACCGATCTAACAGATCATACTAGCATATAACCATCCTATCTACCAGGATACCGAACTAACATATCACAACAGTAATAATCCCAATAACAAAACAAAGGGCCGGCCTTGGTGCCTTAGACCCTTGAGTACAGTGAGGATAACTCACCTTGTAACTGATGCGCTGAAGTGATAAGCTCCACTCTCGGATCACTGTCACAAACTCCACCACCTATATTCACCATAGAACCATACTCATAATTCCCAATTTCCCAAAATGCTCCCAGAAGTCAAATAGTCTACCCTTGGTCAAAGTCCAAGTCAAAGGTCAAGGTCAACAGTCCATGTTAACCTCAACTCGTCGAGTACAACCAGCCACTCGTCGAGTTCCTTGCATAACTCGTCAACTCGCCAAGTCACATGAGTGACTCGTCGAGTTCCTAATGTTTGCGGCCGTAAATTCCTTGGCCAAATCGTCGAGTTTCCCTGCAACTCGTCGAGTTCATGCGTGCCAAAAGCCGGGAAAACCCTAACTGACTCGCCGAGTCACCCTACTGACTCGCCGAGTTCACGACAATCTTCATCGGACTCGCCGAGTTGACCATACAACTCGTCGAGTCCCTTCAGTCCTTCATCCATCCAGATGCTTTTTAAGCCATGATAAGGTTCCATATTGCAGATCCAATTCCCCAAGGCATGTTCATCACGTAAAGTTGCAAACTTTATGTGCATGCAAGGCTCTAAAGACTCTAAATGACAAATCCAAGCTTGAAATGGAGTTTTACACTTAAGGAGGGATTCATACTTGCCAAAGCTGATAGCTTTATGGACTTAGAGACCAAAGAGAGTTCAGATCTGAAGTTACAACCTCAGATCTTAACTCATACCCAAGAATAGCCTCTTATTATGCTAGAAGAGCCCTAATCTTTAATCAAATGAGATCTAGAAGGAAATGAGATCAAGGTAACGACTTGATACCTTCCAAGAGATGCCAACTGAGGTGGATATCAGATCCCCACACGTTCTTTGCTCCTAGCCACTTGCTCTCCAAGTTCTTCTTACAAAGATCCACCTCCCAAAGCTTGAAACACATAAGGATGAAGCACACACACAGATTAGGGTTTGTTGAACTCTCAAGAGGCTCTAAGGGTGCTGAAAGAGGCTTATGCTCCATTAAATAGGGTGCAAAACCCCAGAAATTAGGGTTTCATCCTCCAGCTCCTACTCGTCGAGTCCCTTCTTGGACTCGGCGAGTAGGTTACTTAAACACGTGGACCAACCCGCTGTTACTCAACGAGTCAGGGCAACCAACTCGTCGAGTAGACCTTGAAATCATGAAAATTAAAACCATAAATTAATACTTGGAGGATCGGGGCGTTACAAATACCTAACATGTTAAAGTTTTAATATTTGTTGCTTAGATTCAAGTTAAGTGTAGTTGAATGACCATTTTAATTACATGAACTTGATTACCTGGTAGTTTATGATCATTAAATTATTAGAGCTAGGATTGGCGAAAACTTAATAAAGGTAACGACTTTTACTGTGCTAGAGAACATAATTTGATCATAATTGTGTTTGGTAATTTGTCTTTATCATATATAATTATCTTAGATATATATTAGATAGCCCAATTAACCTTAATAATCAATTATGTGTTTGCTTTTGTAGGATCATTACATAGTAGTTCATGAATTGGTGAAAATATTAGGAGATTAGATCAAGGCTGCTAATTATATTTAAATTGGTAACCAACTGAATAAATCGATGTTTAGAAACTAACCATAGGAAAAAGGGGGATTCAAATATAAACGAAAGTGTCTTCATAATCTTGATAAAAATCGTCTTAGTTAAGATGTTTTCTTATTTTTTAGTGCATTGAACATTTAAGTTAATCTGAACTTGGAAAATCATATAAAACTCCAATTTTAGTTATTGTTTTTAGATTAATTTTAGTAATTATTTTATAGCTAAATCCCATTCCATATGTTCGATACCCAACTTACTTTACTATACTATAAACTGACTAGACACACTGCCTATAAGTGCACTAGTAGAGAAGTAGTTAGGTTTATACACTTAAAAGTTGATAGGTATATCTTTTGCACATATCTAGTTTCTGGCGCCATTGTCGGGAAACGTCTATTTTAGTTGTTAATTTAATTGCTTTAGATCAATTGATCCTTTTTGTGGGGTAAAAGCCGCAAAAAGTTAATTTTCTGCAAAAAATATTTTTTCTATTTTATTGCTCTCCCGATGTGAGATTCACCTCTCACGACGTGAGATCTGGTTTTCAGTTTTTATTTATTTTGCTTTTTAGTTTGTTTTTACGCTTTTTGTTTTGTTTTGTTTCTATAATTTATGACCCTATGATCCGAAAATCCATTAGTTCCACCACTTCAAGATCCTGAATCAGCTTTCCATAAGAAGAAGTCTAAAAAGGTTGACGAATCAAGTAGCACTTTCGAATTTGACAAGTTTGAGCAATTTGAGAAGATTCCAACCAAGAAATGAACTGGTTACGAGTCAGGAACTGAAAGTGAATCGGAAGAATAGGTCAAAAGCGAGGTTGAAGCAATGGCGGTACCACCATGACGATTGAATAATATAAAAGAAGAGTGCGAAACGACAACGGTCCTAGTCTTGTGCCACCTGCAACTGGTTTTGAGCTCAAGGGCCATCTCCTTTCAATGCTTAAAGATATACCATTTTTCGAGAAAGATTACGAAGACGCATTAAAGCATATCGATGAAGTTTTGGACATTGCAAATTATTTCAATGTTCCAAACGTCACAAAAGATGTAGTTTTATTCAGGATGCTTCCCGTAACACTTACTAGAGATGTAAGAAATATGGTTAAAGTCATTAGCACCTAGAACTATAAGAACTTGGAAAAACCTTCGTGAAGCATTCATCGAGCAATTTAGTCCACCTTCAAAGATAGCAGAACTCAAGAAAAAGATTGCTAATTTTCAACAAGAAGATGGAGAAACCTTATACGAAGTGTAAGAAAGATACAAATGCCTTTTGAGAAACTGTCCTCAACGTGACTTAAATGTGCAACAAGAACTTTCTATCTTCTATGATGGGGTGAATGTAACCACACAGAAACTCCTTGATTCTCAAGGCCCAATGAGAAAGAAAGACCCTGCTACCATTAAAGAGTTAATTAAAGAATTCGCAAAGCAATCTAGAGAGCACCACAACCCACGAGAGGATGTGACTAGAGGTAAAGGGAGTAGCAATTTAGCTTCGGAAGATTTAGAAACTGTGATGGAGAAATTAGAGAATATGGACCGAAGGATGACGAAGATGGGTCAATCGATTCATGCCATTCAAGTAAGGTCTGACAATTGTAGTGGACCACTCTTCACTAAGGATTGCGATTTGGATGAAGATCGGAACCAAAAAGCTCAAGTTTGTTATTATAGTTGTGACGGATCTGATGAAGATTGGAGAAAGCAAGAAAGAATGGTTGCCTTATGAAGAATATAAGAAGCAAAAAGAAGAAAACTATCGAAAAACCTATTGGGTTTTGCATTCTACAACATCCTATGGTGTACATACAACCCTAAATACCTTGGATCTATGTTTTCACTAATTATACATGCAATGGTGTTTCCAAGGTATTAAGCCTATAACTAGCATGCAATTTTTATATGCCATAC